CCAGAATTTAAGCTTTCAAAATCTTCAAAGACAATGCCAGACAACTCAGTGGACTTCCCCAGAACCAAGGGTGAAAGACTAACCAAAGGATGGAAAGGGTAACTTAGAGGAAGTGCAGTTAAAACAGAGGACACTTCTTTATGCACAAGGTTGGAGGAGGTCTGAAACATATAAGAAGTCATCCTGTCATGTTGTATAATTCCCTTGATAGAACCTGTTAACATGACTTCTTTGAAGAAATGTCTGGACGAGACCCTCACATCACTTGGCTATGAACAATTGAAAAAGCTTCGAGGGGTTGATTGGCCTCCTCTCATTTGTATCTATTATTGTGTTCATATGGTAGGAAATAAGACCTTGTTTGCGCAGTAGCTTAAGTAATTCGAGCTTTTATTATTAAATAAAGCCTTATTTGACCTATTGTATATACAAACAGCAGAGACTGGTTATGTCTAGTGTTTTAGTCTAAGTATGTCAGAACATGGAGTTAAATTATATTAATCTATTTTCATTTCTGCTTCATTGGCCACAGGAGAACATGAGCCAACAGCTCAGCATGACGTGAGTCAAACTGCTGTACCACAGGGAGTCGTATTCCTTTCCTGTTATTGCACACAAGCAGCAAAACAATATAACAGTGCTCCACAACGGATACTTTAAAATAAGCCGCCACTCCAGGGTGACATGCAAGCAGCATTTGATCAAATCTTGTTGCCCAAACAAAATTCTCCATTTCCCAGCGTGCTGAGGCCATGACACCTAACGTCATCCAGTTGCTCCTAGTTTATTCAGTGAAAATGAATATTTGTGGGATAAACATGTACCTAAACGTTTTCTCCTGAACGTTCCCTGGATTACACGCCCTTCCTGCTGCAAGCCTGCCTGACCTCACTGCTGCCAGCACTACTGTGATCTCAAGCTGATGGGGAATGCACAGCCTCTGAAACACTATACAGCAAAGGCACAACTGAACTCAGTCCAGTACACATGTCCAGGACAGGCCACATTATTCTAAACTACCTGTGCAGTATTAGTCCCAGAACACTGATGGAGACACACCAGTCTCTTTTAATGCTGCACAAAGGTCTGACTGTCTTCAAAGCCTGCCTTTTGGCAGTGAAATGGGTTCAGTTCAGTTCAGTTTATTTGTCCCACAGTGCAATGAAATGCTTATTTGCATGAATGCCCCGATACAAAGACATTAAAGGAATCAGCAAAAAGCACAGAACAGCAGAAGCAACAACAAGAAGTTAAATAACGTACAGCTTAAAAAAGGACAGACCAAAAGTGTGAGAAAATAAAAAACATCAATGTGAGCCAATGGTAGGGGCAGAGTTCAGTAATGTGACAGCTTGAGGAAAGAAACTTTTTCTGAATCTGGAAGTCTGTGCTTTTATGCTCCTACAGTATAACACTTACCAGAGGGAAGGGGGGAGAAAAGTGAGGAACCAGGAGGATTGTCTCCTAGCCTTCCTGAGACAGCGAGTTATGAAAATGTGCACAACAGAGGGGAGCTGGACTCTAATGAGGGGCTGGGCTAACCTGATCAGCCCCTGTAATGCTTTCCGGTCAGACGTCAGGGTAATAGGCAGGGAATAATTATTTGCAATGCAAAGGGAAAACAAAACTCTAGATTGTATTGCAGCACGCGAGAAGAAGGATACAGGTTACTGTTTGGTTGCTACTGTATGACTGTCACGGATGTCGGAAGGGACAAACCGTGGAGAGGCAGGAGAGCGAAAAAGACCCTATGCAAGGCGGCGGAATGGGGAGTTAGCCCGGGTTCAGCAGTATAGATAGTATATATATAGTATAGGTTCAGAAACCTATGCCCTCAGGCCACGGACGTAGCGGCGACCTGGTGCTAGGCGGGTCTCAGGACATCCGAACGTCAATGCCGAGCGAGGCAGAATAAGTGACCCGGAAATATATAGCCCAAGGAAAGAGGGAAACCGGAAGGACAGCAAAGCAGGAAACTAGGGACAGGACAGAGTAGGAGCGCCCTCTGGCTGCAGAGGGCGTGACAATGACAGGTAGGTAAGGAGTAACATAAGAAAGGAATTGCTACCTTCTTTTAAGGAAAGCTTTTTTAATCTTAATGACCATGCAGCAGCAGTATGGCCTAACTGAAAGCATCACAGCCAGTGATTTCAGTGAAGCTGAGAGCAATGACAGGGGAGCAGTGAACAGGACTCCAGACAATAGACAATTGCGTGGTTGTGGGTTCAAATCCAAGGTGAGAAATATAGGTGGCCTTGGATAAATGCATCTTTCAAACAAATAAATACAAGGGCATGCTAAAAAAAAAATGAACATCCTGAATCACTGCAGTCTGTCTGTTTTGGCAACGGAATTAACTTGATATAACCAGGGGTCTGGAAAAAAAACCCCATGGGAAACAGGACGTGTTTGTTATTCTGAGCTAACGCCCAAGACACCTAGCTGAAATGAGCCCACCCTAGGTGTAACAGAACGAAAACAAACAGGACACACCTTATAAGCAGTACATTCAAAAATGAAAAGTCTGCAGCTTTTTTCAAAGGAGATTGTCAACAAAATGTACGCCACATCATTCTAAAACCATAAATAACAAAAACACCATAAGCAAAGCAATGCTTCTGCACTGTTTCCAAAAGCACTTGCTGTTGGCTGAGAGCAGATTCCAGGGTGAGGCGAGAAATCACCCAGCCTGCAGCAGGCCTGGAGCACGACCCAGCATCAGCGCAGCTGGACTCGGCAAGCAGGAATCAGGCATCTGCTCAGTAGAGGAAGGTTATAAATGTGTCTGCTGCATCTGGAAGTCCTGCTCGGGCCAAATGAAGGTTCGGGAAAGGAAAGCCGCCTTCGCTGTCTCTGTGCGCTTGAACAGTGTAGGCCTTCAGAGTCCGTTTCCCTGTCAGAACGGAAAGGTGGATGATCGCAACCCTGGCCTCCGCAGGGAGGGGCCCCGCCGGCTCCCTGCCAATCACGACATCGTGGCTGGAGGGGTCCGCGTGCCAGTGTGGGTACGCAACGGACAGCTTCTCGAGCCGCTGGACCGCGAAGTAATCGTACGAAAACGCCTTCCCCCCCGCGGCATCACACTTCACCAGGGACAGGTGGTGCACCTCCGAGTTGTTGAGGAGTAGGGCGACATTGAGCGGGGAGGTGTACCACACGGTGATGTGGGTGCCGTGGACGAGGCCGGAGCTGCCCGAGCGCTGCAGGGCGGAGAACGAGTGGTCGTCGCAGTCGCACTCGCTGGCGTTGATCCTCCCGCAGGCCCGGAGGGGCCGGAGGCACGTGCAGGTGTAGAGGCTGAAGTCCGTCACGTAGGCCAGCTTGAACTCGCTCCGCAGGAAGCTGGGCATGGCCATCCAGACCAGGCAGGACAGCGTGGCGGCGAAGATCCCACCCAGGATCTGCATGTCTGGGGCAGCTCAGTCCGGACCCTCCCGGTACCTCTGCAGACTTGCTCTCAAGTTAAACGGGAACCGTTTGCATCGAGTACGGCGATATGAACTCTAGCTGAGGGAACTCGCCACTGCTCGGACACAGCCAGAAGGCACGCTGAAAGACGTCTTCGACACAAACTCAGCCCAAGACAAAGCTTCTGAATCTTCTACCTAACCCCTAAAAAACAAAAGGGAAATGTTTTATTTTTTACTTTGCTGGCCCTCATTTATAGAAAAATCTGTTAGGTATTACATGTATTAAGAAACAGCACAAGTTCAACATCAAGCCACCATTACATTTGTTGGTTCTTTCATTCCTTCATGTCAAACAGCTATTATATTGTTCCCTGTGCAATTCTCTCATTCTTTCACTTACTGTCAAGCTCACTACCAATTTAAGAGAAAGCCTCATAAGAAGAAAACTTCAGAATGGGACAGTCTGTTCCAAATTTATCCCTCCGCGTCTCCGATGGGTGTGTGCTTTGAATTGCACATGTGTAGTGTGCAGGGTGTATATACTGTGGATTCCACACTGCCAGCAATCAATCAGAATGATCAGGTGAGCTGATGAGGTGGAAAACGGGATTGGGCCGCACAGACTAGTAAAGTTACAGGGACTAAACTGCGGCCGAGTAAAACAGATTTCAGATGTTCCCTGCAATGATTAGTGTCAACTGCACATGAACGTTGTATTCCTGAAAGGCAATCCCTCCCCTAACCAAGCAAAAAGACTGCAAGTGACCATTAGCAAGCATCAATGCCATCATTCAAATAACCTGTTTTGACTCATTTAGAGGGTGGATCACTGTTCATAACAATCAGGGCACTCCCTTTCAACCAATTGGAACACCAGCATATTTCTGGCTGGGAAGACTGTTCATTGTTCTTTTCAATCTTGTTTCACCCAAAGCAATATACAATAAAAGAACATCCAGCTGCAGTTTTTCAGATTGCAAAATAACATGATTTATTGTACAGAACTGCAGGGCGTATCCAGATTCCACTTGTATTTACATCAGAGGAAAACAGTGAAGAGGCTTCAGGTTTTCCCAGGCTTTTTTCCCCATTCAGGGAGAAGTCTTTTACAGAAAATAAGACAAGATAAGAAAATCATTACCTGACGACATGGTGATAAATGTATGCTGTTTTGATTCATGTTGGCAAATCACCAAATCTGAAAAATCTGTGTTTACATCAGAAACTTCAAAAACCCCAAAACTGACCTGGAAATACTCCGCCCTAAGAATTACAGTGTTTGAAACTGAATATTGGTCACCTGGCTGTCCCCTTCTGTGTCCAGCTTTAAGAAATTTAGAGAAATGTATTTGAAATGCAGTGTTTAGTCCTTTTGCTTCAAGCTAAACACACCTGAAAAATGAACGGGGATGGTGGAGTTTAGGAACCTACACAGCTGAAAGACAAAAGACTTCATAACCCCAGAGTTAAATAAGATTATATCTTACTTACCGTACTCCCTTAAATTCTCTCCATAAGCTTGAGAAAAAGAATATCCTTTTAAATGCAAATGAGCGCTTCACTACGTATTCAGCATTTATATTGTATGTCCATATACCCCTCCTTGAACACAGTGTGTTCACACTCAAAGGGATAACATGCAGACACTTGATTAAATACTACAGTAAATATAGACGTACCTCCAGTGGTCAGAACTAGAGCTTGTGGGTGCAGCTGTATGTGTTTGCAGGAGTGGTGTGCTAGCCTCCTCAATGAGAATATGTGCATGAGATTGAAGGGTTATTTTCCCAAGCTGTGGTCATAGGAGTCAGAGCTCTTCCAGTCACATGAGAGGCAGACTATCAATACTGCTCAGCTTGCTGGAACTTACTGCAAGACTAATCCAAATGCATCATGCAAGAGATTGAGTGTCATAGACATGTCCCCAGAGCTTTTTTTTTTAAAGAAAATATTCTAAAAGATCTTTTAATTGTTTACAGACCACAACTTCCAGGGACTTTTAGTTTAAGTTAAGAGTTAGTTATGTAAGAGTTAAGAGTTTAAGGTTTGAAGAAATGAAATGCAGGTATTTTTAGAGTAGAAACAGAAAGTCCATGAACAATGCCTTTTTTTTAAACAAACAAACAAACAAACAAAGCTGAACACGCATTGCTTTTGTTTGCACTCTTTTCTCAAAATGATTCGCAACTGTCTCTGTGTTTGGTGTTTAAATGTCATTCTGAATTTGTATAAGGGAGGAAGGTTGTGCGACATACTGTAGCACTTGTATCACAATTCTCTGCTCTCCTTTCTAGCAGAAAAAGGACTCAGAAAACAACTGTCAAAAGCTCAGACTGGTTAGGACTCATCTCTGAACTCTAAAAGGAAGTGTTTAGAACACATCTTTCTGTTGATTTGGCTGTCTGCTTTTCTGGGATTATGTGCTGGAAAGGAGTCTGACTTACAGCACAAACACTCCCTGTCTTCCAAGACATGTTATGAATTAACTTATGGGTAGGCAGCCAAATATAGACTTAGACACTGTCTTCAGCAACTCGCAATATCAACCAGGCCAAACAAAACAAAAGGCTAAAGTACAGCTGCTACCAATGTGGATAAAATGGTCGTTCCTACTGAGTGATGTCATGAATGATGAGCTAAAACAGAAAAAATGGAACACTTAGTAATATTTAAGAGTACCTCTTTAGATTCGTGAAAAAAACTTAAACACAGTAACATTTCTTAGAATCTGTGATTCATTTAAGTTTAATTCTCACTTTCTTGAGCTTTAGTGTTGGTCACATTGCACAGTGTTAACCCCTGAACCCCTATCTATTTCCCACTCTGGATACTTCGCTCTGGGAAGTAATTTGTCACTCCTCCCTGTGTTTCTCCCAGCTGGGGCTGAACTTTGGCAATGAATAAAGTTGGGCCACTTCTGTATGTGAAGCTCTTTGGGGTGGAAAGTGCTGTATAAATGCAAGAATTTAAGTAATAAATAATATCACTGTACTACAGAGAATAAAGGTGCTATTATTTCCTTTGTAGTTCTCTGGAACCACATATTCCATTATACACTGTATATACAACACCCGCGTCTAAAACATTTTTATTTCACTGACATGCTGTATAAGTGAGTTTTAAGACAGTCACTGCCTAATCCTGATTTCTTACTTTATCTAATTTCTCTAATCGGTCAGCCAAGCGACAGCAATACCCCCAGAATAGCTTGTTTAACGGATTGAACCTCAGCTTTAATTGGATTCAGTAAAAGCTGTTTTATTCATTTTAACGGTTTTAATATCACGGCGCTCTGAAACTGCTGAATGCCCCGTGCTGTCCTAACTGCCCGCAGACTTCCTACCTTGTCTTCTGGTGACGTTTGTCCTGTGGGTATCTCGAATTTACTTTTTCTTTCATGAAAAAAGCGCACATTCAACGGTATCAATCCCTCTTGCTTTCCTGATCGTACTCTCATCACACTCCTTCCTGCATTCTATACACACAGACATCCGAGGCACCGCTCAGCAGTAATGGAAATGAATATTTTACAATGCCATTGGTTGTACTGATGTCGTAACTGACGGCGGCTGAAGAGATGCTCCGTGATCATCATCACTTGCTCTTGCGAATGCCGTGGATGCTGTAAGGTGTTTTAGGGACGTGAAATATACATGCTCATTTTTTTAGCACAGGAAACGGTTTCTTTTAAAACCATAGAGCGACACTACATCAAACTACTCAAAGGTTAGCACACGTGGCAAAACGTCTCATTTGACTGGGTACAGTACATTTACACACTGTCTGCTGATCAACGTACATCAGGCAACGCTAATCACTGCCCGCATGAACAACCTTCTAGTTTTCAAACTAACAAGTGAGAGTTTAAGTAATTCTGTTCAGAACTTACCCGGAATACGTTTTCGGGTTACCGAGAAACATTTGAACAGATCCAATTTTTTACACTTGAGTCACCGCCTCCCACACAAAACACACTCCCAAGTGAGATCCCAAATCTTTAAAATCAGAACTACTAATCCCAGCGCGCTTCAGTGCGCTGCCATGTCTCGCGCTCTATGGCATGATGGGGTTTGTAGTTCTACGCATTAACCCCAAAGACTTGCCACCTGGCAAAATACTGACAAACTTGCGTTTGCATTTATGGCTGTTTAAAAATATATTAAAGCAAATAATCTTGCAGCCTGTTCACACAATCGTACAGCTGAAACACAACGTGTACACTTTTAGTACAGTGGAACTGCATAACAATTACATTGTGAAAAACCCAAAGGGCAGACAAATGTAATTCTTGATTTATTCAGTTTGATTCTGTTGACAAATGATGATCTTCATTGACTTAGCAGATGGCAGGACTGTACGGTTTTAGTTCAAGCACGTAGTAGATTTGGTGATGAGCAAAAAGTGGGCAAAATTCCCATGTGGCAAGTTGCACCAATGACAAAGAACTGGTTTTCAACATTACTTTAATGGCAGTGCACGGTGAAAAACGTTTTGCATTCCATTTAATGAAAG